AAGAATCGAACTGGTGAGTGATTCATATCGAATATAATTGAAAATAACATACGGTGCATTCGAAAAATGTTCCAATCTCCTCAGCTGATGGATAGGCAGGTGTGCTGCTTTTGCAATAATCAGATATGACTTATTTGACATCAATGTTCAACAATAAAAAACGACCTAATGTATTTTGAATGCATGTGTGTTCCATTAGACCATGATTTTACTATTGAAGGATTATGTCTAGAAAAAAAGGGATTTTTGCTAATGGTTTTGATCTAATTACTCAACAACTAGTTCAATAAATCTATCAAGTTGATTGCCGTAAGCACCTCGACATACAGTGTGTCTCATTTCTCACGGAATCAAATGTCTTCATACATCCCACTTCGCATCCAACTTCATGGAATCAACGACATCCCAAGGAAATGATTTAATCACAGAAGTGAGAAAAACTTGAATTTTCCTGATGTGAAAATTATATGGAAAATATTGTATCGTTCTCAAATCTGAAGAAAGAGAAACTGTATTTCTGTATATTAGCTCTCTCAGTTCTTTCCGGCATTTTGTTTGAATATCGGATATGATGATTATTTATCGTATTTCAATCAATTCCATTGTTCTTCAAGGGTATAGATGCCTAGCATAAAAATGAGATAATACCGTTGATGAACTTTTTCCCAAGAACCATACTTGTCGAAACCGGGTTTAAATCAATTTTTGAAAAATTCTTCCGCAGATTTTATTGAAGTTTGTTGTTTGTATGCGATTTCAAAATACTTCTATTGATTTCATCAAAATGAAGCACCAAGATGCCAACGAAGGTAAGTGCCATTTCTAAAGATTTTGTAAATAACTGCAGTCAGGTAGTTGAAGTATGGGAAAAGTTTGTGGCAAAGGGATATCAGTGAAGCTCTGAAAGGTTCTGACATCTGTTGGCAAACAGTTCGACTATGCAAATAATATTTTTCTATGACTGTTGAAAACTAGACCCTTTTAATGTAACATTTTTGTTGGGTAACTGGATGCATTACACAAAACAAGCCACGCCCCGTGTGTAAGAGCCTTTACACAACAGGCTATGGCCAATCAACAACAAAGCAGATTCATTACTTACAAAACAGTTGACACCAGTTGTAATGATAATATGGGGCATGCAGTGAAACGTTTGAATCAGACAGACTCGTCATGAAATGTCATAATTTGACAATAGCTATCTGGCGTGATTAAGAACTGACTTTTTGTACAAATATGGATTCAGAAAGCGAAAATGAATTCAACTGCTCTCCACCATCAGAGGTTTTGAAAGCTGCCAATTCAAGTACAATCAGCCTTTTGCCCGAGGAATCTAAAAAAAGGTATGAAGTGGTTTGGCGAAAAGCAAAACTTGCAAATTCGTTTTCGGATAATGTACTGCTAGCCTATTTTGGCGAATTAGCAGCTAAACACAAAGCATCCTCCTTGTGGTCACAGTATTCCATGCATATACTAAGAAGCACAATTTCAATGAAAAATTATGTGAATATTGACAAATATTTGAAATTACGAGCATTTCTAAAAAGGAAATCTGATGGATATATGTCAAAGAAAGCGAAGATATTCACTGCTGGTGAACTCAACCAGTTCATCACTCAGTCATAGAAAAAGTATAGTATTCTACTTGCGTGTAATGGCTATTACTCATTCGAATGATTACGACGTTCGCCTGCGGCTCACGTCGCAAACTTCATTCTCATGAGTAATGGCCATCATTACACGCTCGTCGAATAATATACTATTAATTCATCTGAAAGCCAATGAAAGTAGTAAAGAATCCGGAGGCCAAGTATACACTCACCGCCATTGGCCTCTATCCTGTTCCTATTTTTTTTTTCACCTTTTCCTTCAAATGGCAAAGAGGATCAATACTGTTCCTCAATTTGGAAGAAGATAATGCTCATAATAAATTACCCAGGATTCATCATGAGCTTCAAACTTCAAACTTAATTTATCAAACATTGGAATCATGTCACATTTTACTTCCTTGGGCTTCTCGATGCCTCAATTCCTTTCTCAAAAGGGATACTTCAAAGTGCCACATTACGCCCAGTCGGGGATAATAATTATCTATATATCAAGAGCGTGAAGTAGGCGTTCATGGCCTGCGGCGTGAATAATGACCCAGTGGCGTTAGCCGAGGGCCATTTCACGCCGAAGGCTATAAACGCATTTCACGCACGTGATACATATAACATTTTATAATGCACTATAGTGGTTTATTTCTCGTGTCACAAGTAATGACTAGATTTCAACAAACTACAATTCATATGTTACTCATAAATTCATTTTTCAAGAGAAGCGCAATGTTTATGTGTATAATCTACATATTAAAATCACCGTTCGAATATCGCAATTATCGTAAGAGTAAAACTCTTTGTTCACTAACAGATATTCATTCCTTGAGATGTAACAAACAATATGTATACCCAGTTTATAGCTACCTGAATTTGAAGTTGTCAATCAATCTGATGGTTGCTGTCTAGCAATACATCCAAACAAGCTGAAATTGTCATCTTTTGGCTATAAACTTCAGACAGCCAGAAAGGAACTATTGAAAGAAGGAAGTTATAGCGAGGATGGAATCGGATGAACAATAACATGTATCATAATCATAACGAGAATCAGCTGGGAGTCCAAATATAGTTATTCCACAAATGGATGTGTGGATATAAGGGACTTGAGAATAGCGGGCGGTAAAGTGCGTTTTATGGCCCATGGGCGATAATGGGCACGCGGGCGATAAAGTACCACTTTACGCCCGCAAATCTGGGCGATAAAGTGCACTTTATCGCCCGGTAGTGCATAATAGTTATTTATGTATCAAGGGCGTAAAGTAGGCGTTTATGGCCTGTGGCGTGAATAATGGCCCGATGGCGCTAGCCGAGGGCCATTACACGCTCAAGGCCATAAACGCATTTCACGCACGTGATACATACAAAATTTTATGCACTAGTGGTTTATTTTCTGACTCAAAAGTAATGACTATAGATTTCGATAAACTAATATTCCCCCGAATTTGATTTGTCGCGTATAAATTCAGTAATCAAGAGAAGCGTAATGTTCATGATGATGATGATTTACATATGAAAATTATCGTACGAATATTGCAATTATCGTAATAGTAAAACTCTTTGATCTCTAGAAGAGATTCATTCTTCAGAATTTTACAATATGCATACCCAGTATATATACCTAACTTATTTTGACGTTGTCAATCAAGCTGATGGTTGTTGTCTATATCAATACATCCAATAAACGAGCTTAATTGTCATTCTTTGACTGGAAAGTAAAAATTAGTGATAATAATAATAGCGATAGATATGGAATCGGATAAAGAAGAAGTTTATGATATACCGCTGGATATATTAGAATATAGGAAAATGATCATAGTTTTTTCATGAATTGATATGTGGATATAAGGTAACTGAGAACAGCGGGCGGTAAAGTGCACTTTACGGCCCGTGGGCCATAATGAGCCCGCGGGCGGTAAAGTGCGACTTAACGCCCGCAATACCGGGCGGTTAAGTGCACTTTACGGCCCGCTAGTGCATAAAAAATATTATCGCTGAAATGAAAAATAAAGTTGTTTGGTCACGTGTAGGACAATTTTACTCCACTTCTGTATTGACAGAGCAAGTTCGATAATTTTTAGTGATACACGAGATACCGCTGCGTCGATTCTGATTGAAATAGATAGGAATAGTCGATATAAAATACCAAATGATTGACCAGAATCATGCATAGATAAAACTCCAGATTATGACATGTGAAGTAGAGAGTTCGATAACTTGTTGCATAAAAACAAAGAGTGTCAGTTAAACAATTGAAATAATCCGACCACGAAGCTTTGAAGCTCAATATCTTCCAGAATATTTTTTTTTTGACGAAAGTGGATTCTTTCATTTCGTTCTGCTTTTCCGTCTTCTATCATTCATTTTATTTATTGCCCCAAATTCGAAATCACCCTCTATACAGAGTGTCATTTTCGACCTATATTCTGCCTCTTGATAGCATTTTCCAGAAATTTCGGTGATTCCACAGTTGCTGGAGAGCAGTGTCATCACTGGAGATGATCCCAGTTGGTCCTTGAGTGTATCAATTGCAATATTTGATTGAGACATATTTGACCGTATCGCCATATTTTGGTTCTAACAATCCGCCCTTAGCCTATGCCCCAATAGTTATGACTCACCCTGTATATTATTGAGAAGTGTTTTTTATCTGTCGCATCTCTGAAAATTATGTATATAGACAGAAAGTTTCTGATTGGATATCTGAATATTATTTTGATATTTAATTTATATTACGCTAGTTGTAAATACATAGTATAGGTGTACTCTTATCAATTGATAGATACTAATTCGTTATTCATATATCAGTCATTAACATTATCATCATTACTAATATTGATATCACCATTACCAACTGGCTACTGATGTACCATCTGTCTCAAATTATTTTCCTATCTATGATACTAGCTCGTGTACAGGGCGGCTCTATTTTCAAATCTAGAAAGACGAAAACTGAGGTTGGTACGAGAACGCGCATTTCGCAAGTTGTGCATCTTCACTTTTGTCCTTCAATTTATTGTTCCGCTTTCATTGAGAAAATATGAAGCATATTACAGAAATACATACAAAAAAAAAAATTCGACGAGAATTTCAATAATTAAATTCGATTTATCATAAAGACTGATATCATTCGAATAAGTTTCTGCTGCCTTGGAGATCCTTGAGTTCATGTAAATGATTATCGCGTTTGTGGTTCACATCTAGATATGACAGGTGGTTGCTATAGATAGCTGTTTTGAGACATGTGCTTAAAGTGTTTCAATATCAATGAACATTTTGAGTAAGATTAATTCGATTTTTGAATGTTTTGTTAAACAGCCCAAACTTATTGCTAATGCGACACGCAAAACGAAAACAATGTGGTGTTATCAGTTCTTGTTCAAATCGCAATAGTGTCTGAACGGTATGGAGTCTGATTCTGAGGAGGAATTCTCAACATTAGTGGGACTTATTTCATGTCGTTCGAAGAAAAAAAGAAACAGGCGTATGTGGGTACTACCAATTGTCAAGGAACGAACTGAGGAAAGTTTGTTTCATACTTTATTTAATGATGCGATCAAAACAGATGACGAAAAATTCTTGAATTTTGTACGAATGCCAAAAGATTCGTTTTATGAACGTCTGACTCTGATAAAGAATCAAATAGCTAAGCATGATACGGCAATGAGAAGAAGTATTCCACCGGCAGAAAAACTGGTGATAACGCTGAGGTGAGAGAAACTCAATTTTCAATTTTCGTCATTATAATGCATGAACGTTACGAACTTTAAAATTCATGGTCTCTAGAATCTTCGGGTGAGAAAAGTTCTATATAAGACTGTACTGATTCTGAGGGAGATACCAAAGGTGTTGATAATGTTTCGCGTGGAAGTTGAGAATTTGTGATTGAGGCTGATGCTGGCTATGAATGGTCGATTGTTGTGTATGTCTGTTGTAGATGATATACATGATGTAATTGGGTTGGATAATATATTTGATAATAGATTGCATCATTTCCATTCTCACAGATAGTTTCTGATGCGTTGGAACCAACTTCAGCTGAGGCAAGAGCGACAAAAGAAATAACTCATCGTCGTCTTCTGGAAGTTTTCTATTTTTTCTTTTTTTTTTCGAAACGAGCTGCGTTTTTGTCGAGTACTGCAATTGATTTTTCTTCAACTGATGGGATTTTTCTGTTTTTTTTTTCAATTCGTGGAAGCACTGTGACAGTTTCCGTTTGTGTATTTTCACACGATACAGATGAGGTAGTTTGCAACAAATTACTTCTTCGCACTTGACAAAACGTTCTGAGTAGCTGCTCAAAGCAATAAAAACGCGTTCGGCATATCACCCAGACGACCGTACGCGCGGCAGCAGCGCTGCTCAATGTTGCGTTTGATTTATTATTCCATAAAGACACGACAGCTCGTGTGCCGACTCGGCTGCCGAGTCATCCGCCGAGTCGGCGAAAACCGCTCCGTGTGTCTTCACCCTTAATGCCACCCAGAACATTGAATTATATCCTCCCGAAATCTATGCATCGACTTGATTTCGGGAGGATGTAATTCAATGCTCTGCGTGGTATTAGCCAGAAAAGTAGTTGTGTTTCTCCCGAAATATACCATTGTTGTTCATCATATGAAGACTGTGTGGAAATGACTTTGAGCTTTTCGTATTCATTTAATATCTGACCCCACTTTGAGCATTGTGGTTATTTCGAAATTGTTGGTATTTTCTAAATCCATATGTTCCAAATGAGTGACTCGATTTACAAAAACTGAGCAGCAAGGGCAATAAAAGCTCCTTCTAATGATGTATTGTACCTATTTGGAATTAGATTGCGAGTGGAGTACACATATAATTTGGCAAAAAAGCAACGGATCAACTTACCAGAAAATGATGTGATATGTGTTTTATTCGAACAAACATAGTGTATCAGAGTTAACAGCTGCATACATTATCTTCTCCCATTTCCTATATTGATCCACTGTTTGCCAGTGGCTCGAGTCAAAATGCACTGTACCAACTTAGCAAAAATCATTGATTGATACCGCCAGTAGAAGTTCTACTTCTCTATTTAGCCGTAGGTGGCGTTTTTTAAATATTTTAGTGAATAACAGGTGGATGAGGTGAATTCAATGGAATCATTTAAAGTGAATTTCAGTATATACTGGAATAAAAATGTTCATACAGGCATGACTAGAGTGCCTCTAAAATCTCATTTTTCTGCAAGCGTCAAAAAATGACAAGGTTCGCGCATTGATAACAAATTGCGAAGTGACACTTTTTTCAGTTTTTTTTATTGCTTGAAGCGCACGAAAGAAAATCCCTATAATGTTCAAAGAACATCGTGCGTTCCTAGGGAGGATAGGGACAGGAGGTAGGTATTGGAATTTTCTTTGAACTTCTGGAGATTATATGTTGTTGGGAATACTTCCTCGGGCAATGAATTCCAGAGCCTTGCCGTTCTATGGATGAAGGAGTTTTGATAAAGTGCTGTACGACATCTTTCGAGGTTGACAACGAAAGGATGTGCTGACTGGGCTTGTCTAGTTCGTCTGACTGGTATTGCTAGTGAACGAATGATAGCAGATATCTCCGAAGAACATTTCCCGTGGAAGTATCGATAGAAAAGTGAAAGGTCGCCGACCTTTCTACGGTGTTCCAATGATGTCAAAGAGTGAGTGAGTGTGGCGTCACCCGCTAGGCGAATGGCTCTTCTCTGGATGGAATCTAAGAGTATCAGCGTATGTTTTGGTGCTGAACCCCATATGTGGGAACAGTATTCTAGAACAGGCGTATCTGCGCTTTGTAGATCATGAGAAGCTGTTGAGGTGTAAAGTATCTTTTCGCACGGAACAAGAATCCGAGTTTTTTTCAACCGGCTTTTGAGATGGATCTGACATGATTATCCCATGAAAGAGCGTTGCTGATGGAAATACCGAGCATAAATATGGTGGGCTTAGTGAGGATGGTGGTGCCAGACATTACAATATCGGGCATACTGAGTTCCGCCTTTCTAGAGAAAATATAGGCTTGAGTATTGGTGGCGTTGAATTCAACTAGGTTGTTGGTTCCCCAGGCTGTGATTTCAGCAAGGTCTTCATTGACAGCATTGACCTGCCTGCGCCGTGAGTTCTTAGTTTCCTGGGAAGAAATGGGAATTCTGGAAGAGAACGCAGTATGGAGGGTAGTAATCATCTGCAAAGCTGTGGATGAGGCAAGTTGTTACTCCCAACAGATCATTGATATGAAGTAAGAATAATGTTGGTGCCAAAATTGATCCTTGTGGAACGCCGGAATTGATGCCTATGGTATCAGACGATACACCGTCCACCACCATGTGAAGCGATCTGCCAGAAAAAAACTCGATAAGATATGGCATAGCTGAGGTGGTAAACCGTATGATGGTAAGTTGTGGAGGAGTCCTTCGTGAGTAGATCTCCAGTAGATCTCTTCGTTGGCGAAATCCGTATGGTCTATCATTGATGATTCCTGACCTCTCTAGATATTTGATGAGCTCAATATTGATGGCTTTCTCCATCACTTTGGAGATTAGTGATATTAGGGCAATGGGCCTGTAGTTGTTGGCAGGTTCTTGTTCCTTTGTTTGTGGATTGGTTGGACTCTAGCTGTCTTTCAGCATGATGGAAAAATACACGACCTGTACGAGACAGTAAACAACTTGCAGAGAATCGGTGTTAATTCTGGTGCACATTTTTTGAGGATAATGGGTGGAATTCCATCAGGACCGTTAGCCTTATTCGTTTTGAGACCAAACAAAATTCGTCTGATAGTGCGTTGACGGAAGACGATTTCGGGCATTCGACTCTCAACGGGTGGAATGTCTGGCGGCACTTTTCCTTGGGAATTTTGCTGCAAACATCTCTGAAAAAATATTTGCTTTCTCCTGCGATGTTGTTGCTAAGTTTCCTACGTTACCATGATACATGCACAAAACAATGCGCGAAGTACCTACTTCGTTCATTATCGTTATGTGAGATATATGAGATATTCAAAAATCATTCATTTCTGAATGTTCAACAATAACTTTGTTTTATCTCTTGGAGCGCACGAAAGGAAATTCCTATTATGTTCGTGAAACATCGTGCGTACTTAGGGAGGATATGGGGAGGCCTTTTAAGCCAGTTTAACAATATTTTTTTTATATCAAAATATGCATATTTTCACTTCAGAACTATATTTTTTGGCGTTTGTAGAAAAAAATTTTGTTTGCAACTCGAGCGCGAAATACTTTGGTCATCTCGACTATTTTTTCAACTCGGCTACACCAGGATACACCTTCTTAATAAAATCAGATCTCGATCACCAAAGTAGCATTTCGCGCTCTAGAACCAAAAATAAATATTTAGGCTCTTCAAAGAGACAAAAAATATAAGACACAAATATGTTTTTTTACTCACATAACTAAAACGGCATTCAGCGTACGGATATGTACCACGCTAAATGATCGATTAATCACGGATTGACTATATGTGATTTATCCGAAATATTAAACACGTTACCATGGCAACACGATTTCTTAAACACATTACCATGGCAACACAGTTCATTAAACACAGCTTCAGTAGTTTGAGACATCTGGCCTGTCAATTGTATTAACTGTCGACTGTCATTTTCAAATTTTGTATAAGAATTATTCAAACAATTTTCGTTTGTATCATAATTCTTCATTAAAAATATAAGCGAAATGTAGACGAAAGTGAAATCTAAGAGAATGTTCTGATACTTGCATATCTCCAAGAAGTATAAAAATGAAGCATCCATCTTTGAGAACAAATTATTTATTCTGCGCTGAGCATGACAACAAACGTGAAACAAAAGTTATTAAGCAATGGAGTGGACACATCTACAACTAATATCACTTATACGTGTCTCGCTGGTTGCATGCAGTTGCATGTATTATGTTCTCAATTCCCATTCTTTTCGAATTATTTTGTAGGTTAGCAGGAATAGCAGGTATGTTAATGTTATTGTCGGAGTTCGTAGATAAAACATATAATGTAACGTGTTTATAAACTCTTCTAGACACTCGTTTATTAAACACTCGCTCCACTCTGCTCCGCTCGTGCTTAAAATACTCGTTACTAAAAGGACGTTTATAACACTTGCTACATAATATACTATTTATTGGAGATCAAAAGCTATACAAAAGACTAGTATCAAATCATGGATGCAAACCAAATCTCAAGAATGGTGGAACAAATCGCCAGGAATGAGACAGGCAAAAGAGTTTATTAAAAAACCATCGCCAACATTCACAGAATATCTACTAAGCCAGAAACGAAGTTCAACTAGAATACTAGTGGGACTTCTCACAGGGCATTGTAGGCTCAACAAACACATGAGTACGATAGGTCTGACTGAAGAACTGCTGTGCAGGTTCTGTCAGGAAGAGGAGGAAACAGCAGTACACATACTTTGCCACTGTGAGGGCTTGTCAAGACTAAGGTTCCTTACGCTGGGTGAGGAAAAACCAGAAGCCCAGAGATACACAGGGGATCTGAAAGCTAGCCTATGGAGTCTCATAGAGAAGACGGGGCTAGCCGAAGAACTCTAATCGATTTTGAGGGCAGACACAATAGATCTGAAAAGGTCGCGGTGTGGAGGCAGATAGCCCGAAGGCCCCATTCTAAATCTAATCTAATTGGAGATCAAATGTCATGTTTTCGTACTCCTTCATTGAACGAGTGCAGACAAATTATTATTTGACA